CTAAAGACTGAACGCAAAGGGCTTGTAGCTGAATATGGGTTCAACCTAGTGCAGAAGGCGTGCATATTTGACCGAGTGTAATAGAAAGAGACACCATGACCACAAAAAAACAAACCAAAAAAGGACGTCTGTTTTCTCCACCCAAATGAAATAGCATGCATGCATGCTAAACCAAACCTGCAAACATTTACAGCAGGGCATTTTGAAGTACAGAATCTGAACCCCTTGCAGTTTTTTCTGCTGCAAGAAGAGGAACAGCGAAAATCAGATTTTTAAAAATAGAACATTTGATTAAGTTAAGAATACCTGCTTTTGGTCTTTGATAATTTGAATAAATAAAAAAATAAAACAGACAGAATATCTTACACAATTTCAAGCCTCCGGGAAACATACTTTGATTAAGAACAAGCAAGAAAAGATAAAGATTGAAAGATAACCATCAACAACTAGATCATGAAATAACAATAAGGCTGTGAATGAGTGTCAGGAAATTATAAGATATAAGAGACAATATTTCAAAGGTGCACAGTTTATTTAAAAAAAAAAAAAAAAAATTTGTTCTAAGTGTACATATGATATCAGCTTTTATTTAGAAAGATCTAAAACTATATAATAAAAAAATATACCTGAATTTTAGTTTGGTTTCCAAACAAAAATTGAAGTCTTTTTGTGAAAATGAAAAAAATTACTTTGTTCTAAGTTTTACTACGAAGGCAGTAAACAGCATGAACATCTTAATGGTTTTCTTCTTTACTCTGTAGTCTAATCCGTGTTTTTCATGCCTGCTCTCAATCTGGACTTTAGGTTTTTGGTCTTTAAGGTTTTTATAGATTTGCTTTTTGTTAGATTTGTTTTTATAGATTTTTTATCATGTTTTTTGACACACCTAAATGATAAATAAAAATTTTAGCTCTTAAACTCTTTTCATTCATTTATGTATTTAAATATTTGTTCACATACTTACTAACAAGGCACCTGGTTGGAAATAAAAGCTGAAATTGAAGATTTAAAATGAAATAGTTAAAATTCAATACACCATAAAATACAAAGTTGAAAGTATTAGCAATTTGATCAGCAAAAAAAAAAAAAAAAAGAAACCAGGCCTAAACTGGGCTGTTGGAGGCAATTTAACTGCAGATTAAAAATAAGACCTTTTAAGAGAGATGTAAAGATCAACAACTTAGATCTTCTGGAGTAAATGTCTTAGGACTTTTACCAGTGGTGCATGGATGCAAAGACCTGTTCAGATAAAGAGGCACAGGACCGTTTAGATGTTTTAAAAACTGAAAAGTCTTAAAACCAATTCTAAATGAAACAGGTAGCCAGAGGAGGGAATTAAAAACATCCTAATAATTAATTCATTGTTTAATGAATATATTGGGTCTGTTAAAGACCTTGAAGCTTTCTCTCTCCTGTTCTTTTTCCTGAAAAGAAATCACTCTGATAACTCTTTAAATAACAATTCATAACGTATATGTATTAAATAACAATGAGAAATGACAAGAGGTTCTGACAGAAATTGTAATCTTACTCAGATCAGAGAAGTTGCTTATAGTTACAGAAGGCAGCACTTACCAAGGGAAGTGCTCCTGACAAACAGGGAGAGAAGTATTTTATACTTCAGTCTGCCACATCATCAAATCTTTATATTGTGAATGTTTGAAGATGAGGAGACATCCATGGCTCCAGTCTTATCAAAATATTATACTTTGTTCTTAGCTGAAGGACGCCGCTCTCACTCTGTTCCCAAATATTTGCCACGTGCAGAATGAAGATTATAACTGTGTATGCGGACAGAGGAACTGTCTTAGTTAGATCAACTACTGGGGAAAATATCAGTTCTGACACGCAACAGACAGCTAATATTAAGGTGTAATAAAATTCACACATCATCAATGATCGGACCTGTGCAACAGGTCTAATGTGAGAAACATCTAAAATTGGAAAATCTAAGAAACTAATTGTGAAAAAAAAAAAAAACTAAGAAAAGAAACCTCCC